AAATTGGTTTCAAAATAAATAAATGAAAGGAAATTACCCTTCTTTTGAAACCATGCCTTGCGTTTTACGCAATCTTTCTGCATGTGCCCCTTCTTCTTGTAAAAATGGCACTGCCTACCAATACATTTATGGTTGGATGTCTCTTTATTTCGTGCCTTAGGATACTTCCTTTTGTGCCTTTTAGTTATTTGCATTATGATCTTGTGATACCACATGCACAGTCTGAGTCGTAATCCTTCTTTTTTCAACCTCTCTTCCTCTTCGTGACACATAGAGGTAAGTTGAGAAACATTTCACTTATCCTTTTGTGTATTATAATTGATCTTGAAAGGACCAATTTGTGGAGGAAAAGAGTTGAGGATGAATTGCACCAAAAAGGACTCAGAAATAGTCATATCTATACCCTTAAGTTGTTCAGCAATATTGTTCAATTCCATGATATGTTCACAAACACCACTCACCCCATTATATTTCTTAGTTGTCAAAGTAGCCATAAGAGTACCTGCCAAAGCTTTGTCCGATGTCTGAAATTGCTGCTCAACTGATGCCAAAAACATACGAGCCCTATCAGAATCAGGAATTGATTTCCTTATGTGTTTTGTAATTTTACTCTTAACAATCATTAGGCTTAGTCGATTGGAACACTCCCAATTCTCATCAGGATCCTTTCTTGTTTCGTGCTTTCAGAAGTAGGTTGTGCAGGTTCATCAATATAGAGGCATAAGTCCAAGTCTAGCCAATCCAAGGTGATAGGCACTTGGTCTCACCAATCAGAAAAATTGGACCCATTCAACTTTGGAATATTAGCTGCAATCCCTGAAGCTGAAACTAGAGTAATAGCTGTAAATACAAGTTAAGCCATAAGATACACATATAGAGTAATCAAGTGCATCATCGTATTCTACCTTTGGGCTAGAAAATCGACATGCTAACGATTCACTCAGTAAGTGATAACAATTATTCACTTACAACTTTAATAGAGATATCATATTCCTTTGGGTAATATAATAACTCATGACTATAGAAATTAAAATACCTTTGGGCAAATTTTAATAACCATAATCGTCATATAAAATAGATATAAATAACTTTTGCATAAACTACCGATTAGGCCACTTTGGTGATAACTAATTGATAATTTTTTTGAAATGTTTATAAAGGTTATTTAATCTTGTCAACTCACCATTGAGCACATGTTAACTCAATATTCAATAATTTGAGTTTTACAAATCAAGTTTGAATATTTAAATTCAAAATAGATATGCCAATAAAATTTATATTATTCAAGAATTAGTGAAAAATAACAAGGGCATATCGAAATTATAATATTATAGCAATATATTACAAATATTCCAAAAATTCACAAACAATAACCTTTGATATAGTCTAAGGCCATATGAATTTGTTATGTTAAAATCGAAATCATAACTTGATGCCACGTAAGAAACTTCAACTCAAAACATTAAGGGACTACAAAACATAGTACTCGCATGAACCATAAGGAAGTTTCAAAATAGCATTACCAAAAATTTCCAATATATATACATTAATATCCGATTAACTTATACATGTAAGCACAAAGTCATTTATTGACTTAAACAATTAAGTGCCCAATTAAGTGACCAGTCATGTTGAAGCATGTTGGCCTTATAAGAGACGCCCATTACAGGCTTTTCAATTATTGAATTTATATGTCTCAGACCATTAAACTAACCTATATGGTATTCACAAGTAAAGATCGGGAATTCAATGATTAAAAAATATATATAACCTTATATAGTATCTAGATAGTTTGTGATGCCGATAGACTCAAAACAATCATCAATACCAGATGTTTATTCCTTTTATGAGTCAAAGATGCAAACTCGTTCACGTCATTTGATTAGTACCATTAAAGTGATACCAAGTCAACCCATTAATAATTGGTTTGATATTATGATATGTTAGAACTTCAAGTACGGTGCAATAGTTATGTGCAATACATAAATCACCAAAAAAGTACTACCCCAATTATAAACAGTGAGCTAAATTCGAACAGTTCCTGTTAGACATAAGGAAACGAAAATGGGTCCTTCAATTCTAGACCAAAGTCATTATGGTGAAGTAAACAAATAGTTAGGTTTACATTTGATTGTATATCAAATTTTATACAAGTCCAATAAAATTACTAACATAATAGATTTACAATCATAAACGTCAATCCATAGCTCTGATACCAAATGTTAGACATAAGGAGCAGGATCTTTAGTATGATTTGTAAATTAAAATTAATAAATAAATTCTAGATTAGCATACCTTGAGATATTGAAGACATTTTGGAGAAGAATTTCACCGCCCTTTCAGCAAGCCTTCCAATCACCAAGGTTGTAAACTATAAACCTTTGCTGTCTAGCCATCCCTTACCTAACTCTCTATTATGTTATTTTAGTGATAGGTAAAAATAACGAATGTCAGAGTGGTGAGAGGGATCAGAGCCCTAGAGTATTTATAGAGTCACAATCCCTCCCATCATAGAATTATAATAGACTCTAATATCTTCAGATATATGATACTTTATTATGATAAGATACAGATTAATAATCATTGTAATTATCAGATAAAATATCATATATAATACGTCTATATACAACGAATATGGAACTTCTTATTTCCTCCAATTTGTCTATCTTCAGGATTCTAAAACTATCAACATAAATCTATTCATGTGGTTACTTATCTCATGAGCTAGTGAGATAACAATTGAATATTGAAACAATATCATGTGGTCATGTAGGCGACACTAATATTCACAGTCTATACTTCCCAATCATACATACTTTAAAAAATCATTAAAAAAAATTGTCTATATAACATTCTAATTTCTGTACCTAGAAATAATCATCAACGTATACTAAGGAAAACAGTATTTGGATTGGTTGAGCCAGGAAAGGTTGCCTTTGTTTCCAGCTTGCTGGATATTCGCTTCGAAATCTCCATTTGGACAATAGAGCAGGGAAGTTAGACCGATTCCCATCAATACTTTTGGCCTCCTTGTCCTCGCATGTGCTGGACATGCCCTTTGGTTGTTTCTCAGTTCGATCGATCCTAGAGAACCCTTTTTTTTTGTGGCAACTTGCAATTGTTGCAGACTGGACACCGGGGAAAAAAAAAAAAAAAAAAAAAAAGCTTCTCTTCCGGCATAAAGCAACAGGCCAAAATGAATAAATAAAGCTTCTTTTGGATATAATGAAACGTATTTAACATTACCAAAAAAAGCAAAAAGAAGGGAAAAAAAACTAAGACTAGACGTACAAATCAAACCAGCTCATCCCAATTCAATGTGAAGTGATAACATAGGCAAGAGTTTTCTGTGAAAGAGTTCTAATATCGAGTTAAAGTATTTAAACATGTACAAGGAGCCTCATATATAAGCATGCATTTAGGGAAAGAAAATATATATATTCTTAAAAGCAAGCAAGTAGTGTAGTACAATAGTACACCTTTTAGTACAACAAACCAGCATTTTTATTCTCCACAAAAACATGTTGTGGAGCATTTGCAGATGATTTCGGTTCCTTGTGGGTATTACTTTTGGTTTGCATTTTCATTTACTCTCAATTTCATTGTTCATTTGTCAGCTTCTCTCCACTTTTAGTTCTGGCAATCTTTTCTTTCTTAATTCATCTTTTAAGGGTTCTAAGTTCTAGAGATTAATGTACCGACACCTCAATGAGCTTTTAATTATTTGATATGAATTATGTGGAAGTGTACAGGTTAGTAATGGTTTCCTATATTGCTTTCCCAAAAAGCTTTCAAGCAACTCTTCTGATATTGGCTTACTTCATTCACTGCTAACCATTTTTTGCGTATGCTGAGTCTTTGAAAAATTCTTTAACACAATTGATAATCTTTACTACATAACTCGATCTACTTGTTTGAATGTCTTTTTTTTTTTTTTCAAGAACGTCCGCAACAATTAATTTGGCCTTCATGCCAAGCAATCAAGTAAAAGGTATTAATTACAAATTGACACAATCTAAGAAACTAGTGAATTACCTAGAGTTTCATAATACGTCCTAAAGCAATTTGGGCACCTTATTAATGGTCCATAACCTTGCAAAAACACTAGGACTTATAATTATTTGAAATTATCAGAAAAAACGAATGAAGAAATAATTGGCAATATATACATGCATCTCACTTCAGCAATCCCTATATCATAGTGGAGGAATTGATTAAAATCTCGCACTAATCTTTCCATTGCAGCCTCTCAAACTTCAGAACATTGTCATGGCGAAGAGAGCAAATGAAGCAATCATCCATGTCTTCTAAGTGTCCAGAACTGAAAGCTTTTGCTGTCCCTGATTTCTCGTCAGAAGATCCCTCTTTTTGTTGAACGTTAATAACCAACTTCATCTGATCAGATTCAGAGTGGTTTGCAGCTCCTCAAAGTCAAATGTACCATTTCTTTCCTGTAGTTGCAAGAGTAGTGATTACATCTTTCCCACTATCTGGAGCATTTTTGACCAGCTGGATTGGTGTATTCTCTGAAACCCTTTCAATACATTTTTTATACGTTGTGGGCTCCTTTTAAGTAATTGAATATCACCATAAATAAAATAAAATAAAACAAATCAATTAACAATTAATTACGCACTATAGCAAAGAGTTCCATATTTATTTTGTATATCTTATTTGTATTTTTACTGTGTTTATCGGCTTAACGAATTAATCTTAAGCAGCGGCGGCAGTCTAGAGCTGTTAAACGAGCCGAGTCGAGCTCGAGCATATGACAATCGAGCTCGGCTCGAATCTCTAATCGAGCTAACTCGAACTCGCTCGAGTACTAATTCGAGCTTCACAAGGCACTCGAGCTCGACTCGATATATTGGTAGAGAGCTCGAGCTCGAGCTCGAACTCGAGACAAACTCGAGCCGAGCTTTTCGAGCTCGAAACTCGAGCTCGAGCTTCGGAAAAAGGAGAGTACCTTCCTAATGAATTTTTAATTGATTGGAATGGCGTGCAACTAATTGATCTTTATTAGGCACTAAAATGCAGCAACTAATAGCTGTAGGGGATATATAACAAATAAATAATACTTCCACACCTCATTTTGCAATTAAGCCGATTCAAAACTACCTATACAGAACAAAGTATATCTTCATCTTCCTTGAGAGAAACAAGGCAAAACGTTGAAGTCAAATTCACAAACAGTTGGTGGACGTTTGCAGAAGACAATGCCTTTCTCCATTTCAATAACATCAACAGCTCTTCCAAATCTCTTCACACACTCTTCAAATTCATGTTTTCAACCCCAATTCAACTTTGTTTCCATCCTTGACTCGAACAAGAATTTCCTCCCACTGTCTAAGTTAGCTTACTCTGCTGCTGCCACCGCCGCGGCAAAGCCGCAGAGTGGGCCGGTGAAGAAACGCCCTCCAGCTCCAAATTCAAAGAAGAAAAAGAAACCCAGCAATGAGAAGACTAGTAGAAAAAGAGTTAGCAATCTGGAAGTTGTCGAAGAGGAAGAGTCACAGGGCAGTTACCAGAATGCAGTGAATCGGGGTATGGTAGAGGCCCCTGGCTCTACCGAGGTGGCTCCGTGTGGCTGCTACGTATGGTGAGTCAGTGACGGTGGCAAGAATCAGGCGAGCTACTGGCCAAGGAAGGAATTCAGTCGCTTGATTCAGTGGGCTGCTTTTGTCAGGAGGGTGCGGCTGCGGCTGCAGGTGTGGAACGGGAAAAAAGTTGACAGAAAGGGGAAAAGAAAAAATTAGGAGAATGGAGGCTGGCGGTGAGAATGAGAATGGAGGCTGCGGGGTTGGGTGAGAATGGAGGCTACGGTCAGTGCTGTGAGAATGGAGGATAGCGCTTGGCAGTGAGAAGGGAGGTTGCGGGGAATGGGGTGCGGGTGCGGGTGCGGGGGTGACGGCTCTGGCCTGTGGGATGGGAAACAAAATACCAAAAGAGGAAAGGAGGAATTATGGTTACAGCACAGCAGACGGGAGATGACTTAGGTGAGTTAGTGTACTACATACACGCTGAAATGACGAAAATGCCCCTATCTTTCGAGCTTACCGAGCTTATACGAGCCGAGCCCGCTCGGCTCGTTTAATAAACGAGTACTCATTAGAGCTCGAGCTCGGCTCGTTTCTCTCTGTTAACGAGCCGAGCCGAGCTCTTATCGAGCCGGGTCGAGCTCGGCTCGCGAGCTGCCCGGTTCGATTAACAGCTCTAAGCAGCGCCCATTTTTTACCCACTTTTAGTTTTTACCTTATAGCTAGCTTATTCTAATCCTGTAAAAATTACTGTTTATGGAATGTACTTTTACGATGCATTCTGAGAAGCCATTTTGAGAATTCTTATCTAAGACGATAAACGTGTACATTCTGTTCACAAGCAGTTCAAATTCAAGCCACAAGTTACAGCTTCTCATTTCCATTCGAGAATGAACAGGCTGAACAGAACAGCTGATTTATAAGTTCACTGCAGTTCACACAAAATGAACTAGACTGTTTTTTTACACCATTTTAAAGCTAAGAATGTCTAGTTTCAAATTCCGTAAAAGGCACTTGATTTTGACTTTTGTACAAAGAGATATGTTCGATCAAAGAAGCACTGTTCGGCAGCCCAGATTACCATTTTCAGGTTTCTTTAAATTTTGAAAATTCAAGTTTTGCTCAGCCAAATCAAATGATTTTTTGTAAACACTTTCTACACACCATATACTACATATATACATCAGTTTCACAGTCATTTGAGCATCAAAAATTTGAAACATAGGCAAGGCAATAACAGGACAGATTCGGCCAGCTTACTTCCTCTCACAGTTTTCTCTCTTTCTTTTTTCCTCTTCTAGTTTCTTTTAGTAAAACTCATCACAAACACACTAACACACACATAAAAATCATGCAGCCCTTATATAACCAAGGTGGGAGTTCATAGAGCCCATTTCAACCAACCATATCCAAGCAACAACAATAATAAGGAAGCTACAAGCTTCAAAACCAAGAAATGAAACAAGAAAGTAAAACCTTTGGTGGAGATGTTTATACCTTCAAAACCCAAGATGAAACTCTTGATGAAACCAGAAATTTCCCACCAAAAATCCTCCAAGAAATTCCTCAAGATGACGTCTTCTTCCAAGATAAAACTAATCTCCAAAGTGTTTAGGAGTGGGTGAAGATTTCTCTAGTGAATAGAAGCAAAATGGAGCAAAAGTTGAAGTTTTCTCTTATTCCTTTTCTTTCTCCTTGGTCTGGCCGAAAATGAGGGAGTGAGGAGAGAGAGATGTGTGCTAAAACTTGGGAAGAAAGAATGGAATAGTAGCCATAAGTGTCGGGCAAAAAGTCAACCTTCAATAGTGTCGCGTTAGTGTTTCGTACCACCAATTTCTCTTGGGTTTGATACACTCATGCACTAATCCTCCAACGTACTTCATTGAATATGGTAATTATTTACCCTTAGTAGTCTAGTATTAATTTCTCAAATCTCCAATTAGTCGTACCAGCGCGACTTTGGGGAAATTATTGACGCGCGCGCGGTAAAAACTTAATTTGAACTCATTCACTTCTAATCCTTCAATTAACTTTTTTTTAGTCTACTATTAATCATTCTTAATTCTCCAAAAACTAATGCACTCTCGAATCGAATATTATCTCGAAAAACATGTACCCGTTATCTCTCGCTAAATGATTAGTAGAAAATTTAAATTTGCTAACGAAACGTTTTAAAATTATAAAAGGGACATTTTTGCATACAAATGGACTTAAAATGAGTGAAATAAATTATTTGGGGTAAACGGGTAAATAAATAATTAAATAAACCAGTAAAATAAAATAAAAATAAGAAAATTTTTCGGGTCCTAACATCCTTCCCTCCTTAAAAGAATTTTGTTCTCAAAATTCATACCTTCCATAACCCTGGACCATGTTGTGCTAAAGAACTCTAATACATACGTCATGGAAGTTAAAACTAATCCCATTTGATCATCTCCTCCCCCAATTCTTGGCTCGGCATTTTGATCAGTTGCAGAATGATTATCTACCCTTTGGTTTAGGGATTGTCTGGGTTGATGTCCCTTTCATTGTCATCTAGTTTCGATGTTCACAACTAATTTAGATGCACCTGCATAAATCCCACAGTAAACCATAACTGAACTACACACACATACCGGTAACAATTCTAAAGAAATGGAATTACTTGCATAAATAACATTATTACCGTACAAGTCAAACACAAAGTAGAGCTCATTAAATCATAACACAAGTTACAGTTAAGTAAAGTACATACCAAGTCAAGATCAGTAAACAAAAGTAAACGGGTGATTAACAAAAGTATATGCATCTCCAAGACGCAAACTCTTAAATCCTATTCCCATCGTCCCATTACAAAAGGTCAAAAATAGTGTTTCGCTAGATTAATTGGAACTAGATAATTCTCGTTCCCTAACATGTTCAACTTCATTCCCAACACTAGGATCTTCTAGGCCACGATCTACTTCACCTTTCTCTCTTAAGCTCAACTACATTCCACTTATCTCTGGACAATATTGTCCCACACTTGGTTAAGATATTCTCCGTCTGATCTCTCATTTCTCTTACTACTTGAACTAGATGTTCGTTTACCTCTTGCGCTTGCTCTCGCAAAGCATTAACCCATTCTTATTCCCGCAAATGGAGATCTCAAATCCTTAGTATTGCCCTCAACTCTTAAATATTCGAGTACAAGAATCCGAAATAAGATAATTCACAACTCAAGCCGGCCGGTCCCAAAAGTAAATCACCATATTTGAGATTGCTACCCAACATACATATCTAATTTTCCCCAAGTATCAAGATAAAAGGTTTATACCTATCATATTCAAGATTCACAGCTTATGCTCTAGAAAAGTACTTAAGTCTTTACTCATTCACATAATAAGGACCATAACACTACTTGGCCCAACCTCATCCCGCTCAGAGACCACGCGAAGTGGTTCTGATACCACCTTTGACGCCCCCACTTCTCCCAAGGGTGAACCCAAGGGTATCCGCGGAACGCCTGCCCATCTCTCGTCAGAACTCACTACAATCCATAACTCAAAATTAGAAATACTTTAAATATTTTCAATATATATTTAAAGTACTCTAAAACATGTAATACTTACCATTAGTTAACCTTCAATCTTAAATACAACCCAAAAGAATATGTACTACAGTCATATGCTACAATACAACTTAAAGTCTTAAAAAAAACAACCTAGTACTATTCGCGGGTACTCTCGGTCTTGCACTTTGTAAAGGAAAACAAAAGCGTGGAATGAGTTAAACAGTCCAATGAGGTTCAAAAACACACTAACAGTTTTAATAAATCAAGTAAATTGAGCATAACGCACATACGGTTCAAGGTGTCACATTGGCACATTAAAATGAAATAGAGATCATTGTGCAGAATTCGAACAGTGAGCTAAATTCGAACAGTTCCTGTTAGACATAAGGAAACGAAAATGGTCCTTCAATTCTAGACCAAAGTCATTATGGTGAAGTAAACAAATAGTTAGGTTTACATTTGATTGTATATCAAATTTTATACAAGTCCAATAAAATTACTAACATAATAGATTTACAATCATAAACGTCAATCCATAGCTCTGATACCAAATGTTAGACATAAGGAGCAGGATCTTTAGTATGATTTGTAAATTAAAATTAATAAATAAATTCTAGATTAGCATACCTTGAGATATTGAAGACATTTTGGAGAAGAATTTCACCGCCCTTTCAGCAAGCCTTCCAATCACCAAGGTTGTAAACTATAAACCTTTGCTGTCTAGCCATCCCTTACCTAACTCTCTATTATGTTATTTTAGTGATAGGTAAAAATAACGAATGTCAGAGTGGTGAGAGGGATCAGAAGCCCTAGAGTATTTATAGAGTCACAATCCCTCCCATCATAGAATTATAATAGACTCTAATATCTTCAGATATATGATACTTTATTATGATAAGATACAGATTAATAATCATTGTAATTATCAGATAAAATATCATATATAATACGTCTATATACAACGAATATGGAACTTCTTATTTCCTCCAATTTGTCTATCTTCAGGATTCTAAAACTATCAACATAAATCTATTCATGTGGTTACTTATCTCATGAGCTAGTGAGATAACAATTGAATATTGAAACAATATCATGTGGTCATGTAGGCGACACTAATATTCACAGTCTATACTTCCCAATCATACATACTTTAAAAAATCATTAAAAAAAATTGTCTATATAACATTCTAATTTCTGTACCTAGAAATAATCATCAACGTATACTAAGGAAAACAGTATTTGGATTGGTTGAGCCAGGAAAGGTTGCCTTTGTTTCTAGCTTGCTGGATATTCGCTTCGAAATCTCCATTTGGACAATAGAGCAGGGAAGTTAGACCGATTCCCATCAATACTTTTGGCCTCCTTGTCCTCGCATGTGCTGGACATGCCCTTTGGTTGTTTCTCAGTTCGATCGATCCTAGAGAACCCTTTTTTTTTGTGGCAACTTGCAATTGTTGCAGACTGGACACCGGGGAAAAAAAAAAAAAAAAAAAAAACTTCTTTTCCGGCATAAAGCAACAGGCCAAAATGAATAAATAAAGCTTCTTTTGGATATAATGAAACGTATTTAACATTACCAAAAAAAGCAAAAAGAAGGGAAAAAAAACTAAGACTAGACGTACAAATCAAACCAGCTCATCCCAATTCAATGTGAAGTGATAACATAGGCAAGAGTTTTCTGTGAAAGAGTTCTAATATCGAGTTAAAGT